CCCCCCCCCCCCCCAAAAAAAAACGGAAGATTTTATTAAAACGAATACTATGAAGTTCATGTAAGTTCAATTTTCTATTCAGAATAAACTATTTCAATAATTAAAGTTTTAAATGGTTCTAACATCTAACATTGATAAAAAAAAAATTCAATAAAACGCATGTTTAATACGATGAGAACAAGAACATATAGAAATGTATTTATTTTATTTTGCCTATAATATCGCGTTATTAATGAACAATAATAATGATAAAAAGAAGGCAAACAATGTGGAATTGTAAGCAAATACAGATTTCTGAAAGATTTGTTCAGTGTATGTGCAAATGCGATCATCAGAAAATTCTAGTTAAAAGTAATTTCTCTTTTCAAATCACAGTAAATATTTGGGAATAAGAAAGAAAATGAAAAGAGGGGAAGAAAAAGGACTAGAAAATTCTTTCATTTAAAACCTGAAGGGATTAAAATAGGGAAAACGAAAATTGGAATCTCTTTCAAATAGAAATCTCCTGAAGAAAAATACAATTATAATTACTTTTTTCCCTCTTGTTTGATTCAGCTGACGGTGAATCTCAACAATTATTTTTAAATTTATCGGACAAATAAATGTGCAAAATATTTTCCGGAATTTTGACTATTGTATATTTCCGCCTTCAGAAATAAAACTTAACAAGTGTTTTTAATTTACGGGAAAATAAATTTATTAAAACTTTTTTGTCTTAAATAAGTAATCAAGGAGATTAATTATAATTCATATCCAAAGGTGAAAAGATGAGTTTAAAATTTCCTCCAGTCTAAATCTTGAACTATATTAATTCCGTTTTGTTTTAAATTAAAAGTTTGTTCTTGAAAAATATAATTTTAAATGTTTTTTTAGATGGTCCGTAGACGTATTTTTGAATTTTTTTTTTTTTTAAATTTATTTACTGCTCTAAATTTTTCGATACTATTATACCTTTCGAAGAGGGTTTATTGTTACTTTTTGAAAATTTTCTAAAGTACTTTTTTTAAATTTATTTATATTATTATGCCACACAGAAGAAGGTCTATGGCTATATTTTCGAAACGTTCCGAAAAATTTAATTATTTTATACTTATAGCTTCTTCATTAAACATAGCACTCTTCATTTAGCTCAGCTATAATGTGTTTTTTCTTGGACAAAGTCATTATTTGCTCTCTAAAACACTGGTCGACAATAACAAAATCAATATAAATTCAAAATAAATATTTGTTTACGTTATTAACGCATGCGCAATGAGTGATAATGTCTGCGTTGGACCAACTGCTCACGCTGAGCTAACAAAAAAGTATTTTTTTGGCGTCAGCTCTACGTCAACTTTCCGCTGACGCCCAGATAAGGCGCTAGTTCTAAGAAACCAGGCCTTGAGCTAACAAACCAGTATTTTGTTGGCGTCAGCGGGACGTT